GTTACATGACTCCATCTATAATAGTGTGAAGTTTGATATAACACAATTTCATACAATATATATAATTAGGGGGTCCCCCCTCCATCAGTTTGGGGGTATGTTGAAAACCCCTGGCGTAGGGGGCCTACCAAGTGTCAGTGACAGGGGACCTAAGAGGTCAGGGGCCCCTAAGCAACTGCAGTCTCTGCTTACTGATATTTACAGCATTGATATCAGCAATACAGACACTGTATATCCTTAGTATCGGCCTGATATCAAAATTCCCAGTATGTCAAATCTGTTAATTTAAAACCAATAAAGCCTTCAGACTTTTTTTTTTTCCTTTAAATGTGTTCCTCCCTAAGTAGCCTTTGACCACTGGGTGTCATCCAAGCAATAAAATTGCCAGAGGAGCATGAGGTTTTTCTGAGCTGCATGACTCACAGCTGGGTTTGTGTGAGGACCTTGGCCTGGGTAATGGTTGTGTAATGAGTTAGGCATGAAATCTCCCTGAGAAGCCCACCCCGTTATTTAGCTGCATTAACTTCAGCAGCTGGGGAAATTCGCACATTTTAAAAGGTAGAAATGTAAAGAGGGGGTTTGCTCCTCAGCAGGGCGTCCCCCCTCCTCCCCCTCATAAGCACACCTCCCCTCGGTGAAATGTATGGAAGCACTGCGGCACACTGCGTGTATTTCCAGGCTGCATGGCTGCCTGGCTCAGCGTTCAAAGGCAGAGCGGAAGATAGGAGGAGGAGGAGGAGGACTACAGCAGGAGAGTGGGAGGAGGAGGGAGGGAGGACAGTTTCCTTTCTGTAACACACTACAGGAACACACCGCCGGGGGAAAAAAAGAAAAAAAAAACGGGGAGAGGGAAGAAAATAATAACCAAGAGAGGGAGCAGGAAACACCGCAACCCCTCCGTCCGTTTACCCGTCTCCCCGTCAGTCATCTTGGTTGTTTTTTTTCTCCCTTTAAAGCCCGAGAACCCGTTTATTTTTCTCCCTTTTGCGGACTAACATGGACAGAGAGGAGGACTGACTTCCAGTGAACCTCTCCTCTGTGACTGATAGGGAGGGAAAAGGCGGCGGACGGGGAAGACATGTTGAGGGGCTCTTCGTCTTGAGGTCGCGGTAAGGCTGCTGTCGGTGCTCCGCTCTCTCAACACTCCGGTAAGAGGAGAAGGAGGAGGAGGCGGATAAAAAAAAACAAAACAAATGGAAAGTGTTCCGAGCAGCCAGTTGGTGTGTTTAATTGGTTTAGTTATGGTCTGAAATAAGGCAGGCCTCTGAGGCAGTTTATAGACGGAGAGCAGAGAGAAGCTATACCTGCTTAGCTTCGCATCTAACTGCTTTTATTTTAGTACGTTTTCTCCATTTTTGGATTTAAAAAAAACAGACTATTGTTTATTCGTTGCTATATTCGTTTGCGGACACACCAACTCTTTTAGGGTTTTTTTTAACAAAACGTGCTCTTTTTTTAAGACGTTTTTTTATACATATATAATCACCGTTAGGTTTAAAGCGCGGAGGTGAATTAGCTTCGTTTTAGTTTAGAAAGAAACAAAGGAGGATTTTTTAAATGTTAATGTCGACCGACGTTGCTTCCATTATGCTGCCTGTGTCCCGGGCCCTGATGGACCGGGACAGGGAGCTGGACGCCATGGCCGGGGTGCACGCCAACCCGGCCGGTGTCGCTGGAGCCGTGCGGGGCATGAAGCGCGGAGACCCGGAGCCCGACGGACAGACAGCCGCTGCTATGGTGGACACCACCGGGGCGGAATGCAAGCGTCCCCGGATGGACGGCTCAGGGGGGATCGGTGAGGTTGGACAGGTGAGGACAAGAACCGGTTCCTGTTTTTATTAAGACTATTTCTGTTTTATCCAACCGGTGGCTGCTGCAGCAGGAGGCCCTGCATGCATTCTGCCTTTATTCTGAGCTGAAAATCACCACACATGCTTGGGATTTAACTTTTAATTATCAGGACATAATCAGCATCATCCTGCTCCTCACACATCCTGTTCAAACTTTTCAGACATTATTTGGTTTGATACATATCCTTAAATCCTCCAGGCTAGACAATGTAAACAAACCAGACCTTCAATTATATACTGTAAAAAAAAAAAAACCCTCTCCTTTTCCATAACCTTTCCTAATTTTGTTCAGGTTTTCACCAATTGGTTCATGCACATTTTTAAAATAATTATTTCTATAGGGTATAGGCTAATTTATTGATTGATTGACTTCATTGATCTCACAGTGGGGAAACTGTCTTAATGCTTTAAAGGCACGCGACTCCAACCTTTATCTGAGTTAAACTAAATAATAAAACCATCAGTGCACCAAAACTGGGTATATTTTGCAGTTAATAGATCATCACACTAGAGGCTGAGGGATGCTTTGGATATCATTAGAGTGGATTATGTAGGCTGAGCTACTCCACTGCAAGACAGAAAGCTATTTCCCCTCCTCTGAAAGAGGCTATAATGGAGGTGAAGTGGCCTGTTTGCTCCTGTTTGGGAAAACTAAATGGCTTGCTTCAGATCACCATCCCGTCTAGTGAGTGCTGACAGTGCTTGCTGTAATGCACTTACACACATGTGAATGGAGGACTCTCTCTGTCTGTGTGTGGGGGGGATTGGATCAGATCAATCAAATTGAGGCTCTAAAATGTATTGAACTCCCTGGCTGGACAGTCTGGAAATGAGAGTGGGATAGATACGCCCCCCCCTCAGCCCCCTCAGCGGGAGTTACTGTTGGTCCTGCAGCAGCAGCTTTGCACTATCAGTTGCAGTAAAGAGGCTTTGTTTCCAGCTTATGGGATCACTTCACATACTGGAGGGGTCTAAGATTCTCATTTAAAAGGATCAGGGGGCAAAAAAAAAAAAAACACAAAAAAAGGGTGAATGCATAAATATTGGTGACATGAGCTTTAGATGAAGATGAATATTATTTATGTGCAGCTGCTGTAATTGCCTGACAGAAATGTGATGAGGAATTAGTAAAATCATTTTTCAAACAGACGTGATAACAAAGCCATGTTTGGCCCTTCAGCTCAAAGGGGACAATGTGTGACGACTGTTAGCTTATTAATTCTGACTGGTTATAAATTAACTATGAATTTGTTGAGGAAAATAAGAGAATTAATTTGGAATGAAATTGGTGAACAAAAAGGGCTGAAAATCGAGGTTCTGTGCAATGCTTTACAGTTATTTGGAAAGTTGATTCGAGGTTAACTTAGACATTCTTTAATAGATTAAGCTTTCAGACCAGTTTTTTAAGAAATATTTATCATCACAGCTCATTGTTTATGGTATATTAAATAAATATATGTCTGTGAAAGTACCACTTAAAGTAACAAACCTGAATGAGTTTTACTGGGATTTAATGATAGAACAACTGTAACTGATGCATCTTGGTGAACAGGGTAGAATATGATTGATGGTTTTTAATGATTTGACATAAAAACCTGGAAGGAGCAGCATGTTTTGTGCTAAACCCCCCATCCCCAACCCACCCACACAATGCATGATGCTGCCACTACTTTGTTCCACACTGCAGATTGTGCATTCAAGGTAATGTCATGTTCCATAGGCCCAAAATGATAATTTAGCTGTAGTTCAATCAGAGTAGCATCTCTATGTGGTTTATGTCTAGCTGCAAAAAGGATTTGTTGTGGACTTTCTTCTTGGTGATTTCCATAGAAGCCATGTTTGCTGATAGCCGACTTTTCCACCTGAGCTCTGGATTTCTGCAGCTCCTCCTGGGCTATTTTGCGTTTCTTTCCTCATATCTTTGTAATTCTCTCCATGGAGCTGTCACTATATACACTATGTGTAGATTTGTGTTTTTGCTATTTTGCTTCCATTCTCAGATCATCACTTGAACCTTTGTCTGAAATGTTCGAAGATTAGGGTTTTTTGTTGTTGATTTAATCACCTCTGTCTGTTTAAATCTTTAAATCACAACAGGCCACCTTCCCCTTTTCTTCTCTGTGCTGTTTGTCCACTAATGTTAGTTCCATCTGATTTTTCTCCGGAACATCATGGTGATGTGTTCTATAAAGAAATATGATTGTTTCTCAGATCTGGAAAAAAAAAAAGACCAATATCATATGAAATATTATGTGCTACTTTCTGTTGGCTTGTCACAAAAAAAAAAAAAAAAAGCAAAATAAAATCATTGGAACTTTGTTTTTCCAACTGTATAAAATGTGGAAAAGTGGCATACTTAAATCTTTCCATTCTACTTTTCCAAGGAACTGCGTTTATTTTCCTCCAATCTGCTGACGCCATTAATACTGCAGAGTCTAGCTTGGCTAAATGACCCTCAATTTTCCATCCCCTGCAAACTTATTTATCCAAGAAAACCCTCTAAAAGTGCAGAGAAGCGTGTCTGTTAAGTTAATCTGCAGAGGATGGAAAATATTACAGCTACACTGACGTGCAGAAGCAACAGTGTGGCCCTTACTTAATCCTTTCCATCCTTCATGTGAGGTTAAGAAAAAGAAAGTAAGCTTCATTGCAGACGTTATGGCAAAATCTGAACTTTGAGGTGTGCATCAGCATGCTTTAACAATTAGATAACCATCAGTCACAGATGCTGTTTTAGTTATTTGTCAAGTCAGATCAGCAACGTTTTATCTAGTCAACAAAATGTTGCTAAATCAGTGCAGCATGAATGAAGCATTTAGCTAATGTGGCTAAATTAAAGGCTGCAGGTCTGACAGCAGTTTGAGCAGTGCTTACAAACCAATGGTTTGATTTTTATATTGGTGTCTGACTCACTGCTGCTAACCTCACTACATCCAATCAGTCTACTTTATATTCATCTGCTGCGCTGGGGGAAGTCCTGTTTTTATTTCCAGGCTGGCAGGGGATTTATAACACCTCTCATCTTCAGCTCCAGTCACATCATTGGGAACGTTAGGAGGAGGTTGTCTATTTCGATATCTGTCTGGCCTGATGTGGAGCGTTTTGCTATTATTGCTGTGCAGGAATCGGTGCTCTCAGAACCTTATAAGGACCTGCCCGGAGTGGCAGTGCAGAGGACAGATGATTGGACTAGAACGCTAATGCATGCGGAGCTCCTCTTCGTGCTTTCATCCCTGACATTGCATCGAAACGGCATGAATTTATGGGGTTTTTTTGGGTTGCTAAAAATTCCTGGGAGAAATCGTTGAACAGATTTACATTTCTGAGGGCACCAGCAGTGTTTTGGGATGCAGATCTGCTGAAAAGTGGATGTGCTTAAAGTGCAGTTATGCTCCCTAAAATGAAGTGCAGCTGAGTGATGTGTTTTTAGCAGCATAATAAGATCAGATCAGCTTTGCTTTCCTCTTGGTCATATTTTGATGGTTTGTAGTGTTTGAAAGCCTTTCTCCTCCACATTTTTGGACGATACATGTACATCATCATCATCAGGATATTGCTAATATATATATAGCCAAAATAGAGTTAAACAGGGCTCGATATTAACCATCGCCTGATCTCCCTGGGCAAATAGTTTTTATTGTTGGGAGAGAACAAATTTCATTGCATTTGCCCGCCGGGCAAAATTACTTTAAAATCACTGACATTCGATGAAAACGACCCAGAAGTGTTGCCGGCACCATTTTTGTTGTTTTGTACAAATTCTCACGTGATTTAAAAAAGGCGCGTGATTTGAAAAAGCCAGGTGATTTTCCGCCAGATGGCGTGATTTTTGTCCACCTAGCGGTAATTTTGATGTAGTTACCAAAACGACAAACGGCTGCATGTCAGTTAAAAGTCAGGGAATTATGTAAGACTGTGGAAACCCTGTATAAAATAACTATGTATAATGATTCTCTAGAAAAGTCACATTATATTAATAGTATTATCTTGTATAAACATACCGTGACTCTAAAGTAAAAGTTATTCATTTGTGACACTGACTTCTGTCTTGGGATTTATCTTAAGTTTTTAACCTGTCAAATTGTTATTTTTAACATTACAATTTATATTTTTCCAAGCACACAACAGTTTAAAGCAAAGTTTAGTTTGAAAAGAATGTGCAGGAAGGATTGAAAAGCATGTTAACACGGTAATGTAGGCTTGAGTTCATTATCTGACGCATGCATATACACACCAGGAACCTGGAAACTTAAAAAATACTGAACTACAAAAAACATTTAAAAAACAAACATGTTTCATTGATACTTTATTTATCAAACATTATACTGGGCAAGTAAAAATTGTTTCTGGGCAAATGAAATGTGAAAGTCACTTGCCATTTGGGCAAGTGGTAAAAATTCAAAAAAACATTTTATTCCTTTTTTTTCCTTATAGTGGAAATTTTAACAAAAGGCTTATTTTGTTTGGAAATCAGTCTGAAAATAATAGATCAGATGCAGACTAATGTTCTAAAAAACAGGGAAACAATTCTTTACTTTGACCACTGGCTTCAGTACCTTTTCCCATGTGACCCAAATACACATGAATATTGCAGAAAGCAACTTTAGATTAAAATGAAGTTAGAAAAGGAAGTCCTAAAAACAATAAATTGTGTTTAAAAGACAAATTCCAGGTTGAAAGAAAATATTCTTCTTTAAGGCGTCAAATTAACAGGATTTATTTGATCAAGAACGCATAAGGGGTACATTTTCCTGCTGATCAAGAGATTTTTCTAGCTAACTTCATTTTATGATAGAAATAGTTTGAATACTTCTGTGTCCAAGGATGGGTCCATTTTCACCAAAACCCGAACTAGAATTTTCTTTAATATCAAGACAAATACAGATATGATTATCAGATTGATAAATCTGTAATTTTGGTTTTCATTTCTGAAAACAGAAGGTTCTTTAAATCACCTTG